CTGCAAAGAGCATCCCTCTCCGCGCGGTGAAGTCTCGCTTCGTGGTGACGGCATATGTCGCGAGGCCGCCGACGGCGGCGGCGGTGGCGGCGGCGGCGCGCACGAGGAGGTCGGCGGGGAGGGGCATCGTGGCGGCGCCGATGCCGACGCCGGTAAGGGCGGTGAAGGCGGCGAGGAGGAGGTGGCCATACGGCGGTGTCTCGGCAAGGCGGGGGGCGAACTGAATGGCGAGAGCGGGGGCGGTCGCGAGGAGCAGGAAGGCCGGCGCCGACGGCATCAGCCGGTACGCGACCGCCGGTGCGCCCCGCAGCGCCGCCATGATCGCCGCGAGCAGCAGCACCTGGACCAGCACGGTCGAGTAGACGCGAGCGAGGAACTGGCGGCGGACGGCGGGCCTCGCGAACTGCTGGGTGACGTAGACGCGTTCCGCGTCGCTCATCGTGCCCGCCGGCTGCTGCTGCTGCGGCTGCTGCTGCACCGGCACGTAGCCGCCGCCGGGGTAGGACCGCTGAGGCGGGACGTAGCCGGCGCCTGGGTAGGAGGAGGAGGCGCCGCCGCGAACGAGCAGCAGCGGCCTCGAGGAGGAGCGGTCTGCGGCGGCGGCCGCGACGGATAGCAGGAGGGCGAGAGGCCGCGAGTTCATCGCTCACAACTCGTCCTCAGGCGGCACCACCTTCTGGTTCACAGCCTTCTTATCAGCTTGTCTGTCGTTCTCCACACCGCCGTGGCGTGGCAGACGGTGAACGAGCTAGCGTGCGGGGACAGCGGCATTGTGCACGGAGCGAAGTGCATTGCCGTTCTTAACGGAGTCGCTTAGGCGGCTCCGGTGGTGTGCCGGTGATAGTACTAGCACGCGCCAGTTCGCACCTGTGTCGAGCCTGTGTGCTGTGAGAGAGAGTTGTCTTGTTTAAATTCTTATCGAGCCTGTCCTCTCGAGGTTCTCGAGGTGGATATCCTTTGGCCGCGTTGGGTAGCGAGGATTGGTGTAACCCGAGCCACGGAGGCGTGTTTTCTGACGGCCGACCGTCAGTGCACGGAGTTGCCCCTTCTCCGACTGCCCCGGCTAGTTCACGAGTTTCGCGGGAGTGACCCCATGCGTCAAACCCGAGACCTAGCGCGGGTGGGTTGGAGGGGCCTCGGAAAGGCGCGCAAGCACGCCCTACGTCTTCCCCTCCTCCCCATCGGGCCGCATGAGCGGCCACGCCTCGCAGATTCGTTTCCGCGCCTGGGTCAGGCGCGCGGGGCATCCCCCGGGTCGCTCGACCAGCGATCCGAAGAGTGGCCGCTATGCGAAGGAAAGAGTGGGGCCTCGACGCCTCAGTCCGGCCCTCCGAGGGGGGAAGGGAATTGCGGGCTCCCCTCGGGCGCCTCAGTTCGGCCCTCCCGAGGGGGGGGAGGGGAGCAAGGGGGTGGGGGGATCGGGGCGGTGGGGAGGGGTCTCGGGTTTCATGTGGCTAAAACTTGCCGAATGTGTACTAGTATGTATATAGTGTGTATCTATCTCTCTCTCTCTCTCTCTCTCTCTCTCTCTCTCTCTCTCTCTCTCTCTCTCTCTCTCTCTCTCTCTCCCTCTCAATCTCTCTTCTCTTCCTCTCCCAACTGCAACGCTTCTGCTTTCCTTTTCGGCTCCACACATTCAATGGGAAACTCCCCACGTATCAATCACCCTCCGAGACTCTTTTCGTCTTCCCGTGATACAACCCGCGTTACAAGAACATCGATTTGGCCCTTTGCGCCATTTGCCACCTCTCGAGGCCTTC